TGCTTGAATGATAACAAGCCTCTGGCCACTAGGTGGCGGCATCTCATACAGTGGTTTGTACGGATAAAAATATACATGTTATCAGGCTCTCAACAGTATTTCAATTTGGAGATGGGAGTGGGTTGGACGGGGGAGGGGCATGAAATCATCTCTGTCCTCAAGGGGGCGCATGACAAAGAAACGATTGAGAACCGCTGTATTAATAGGACAGTCGACGACTACACCAGAGTTTACAGTTGATATCTTTGGACAGTTGACGTTTCAGGAGCAGAACTCCATTCTCTTATCCAGTTTATATGACAAACAGAAATTGAGAAGAAAAGGTTTTGCCGCTGTACAGTTTGAGGTTAGGCTACAAAGCGAGAAGTGCTTGTCTAATTTTAGCCTAGCAGTTGGTTCTTAGGGAAGGTAGGGAAGCTAGGTTTGTAGGTTTCCCCTTTTTCAACAATAGAAGTAAGTGGCGCAGGGGATGGGGGTTGTCTTTGTGTCTCAGTTTTTATTAACAGACATTTAGGAGTGTTTTCTGTCAGACGGAGCAGGTGTTCGCTCTACCTGTCAGCAGCAAAGATTTCCTGCAGCAGTGTGCGTGACACTGACACTGTGAGTCACTGCAAATGCAACGTCTTCAATCCAAAAAAAAAAAAAAAGAGCAAAAAATGGCCGTGAAGGAAAACCTGGGAGCATTTCTTTCAGTTTTTTTTTTTGTATGGAATCTCACCTGATGCAACTTTGTTAATTACATTAATTAGAACTCATTTAGTGTAATAAAATCAACCATATTTGGACATAGAGTTGATAAGCCCAACAACGGGACAAAATCAAGAAGTAGAAAACAAAAGCTTGAAAAACCCTAGCAAGGCTGTATGGATGGATAAAGAGTGAAAGCAGAGGATGTGGCTCACGCCCCAGGCAACGCCATCTGTAGGCAGAATCTGCTAAGGCGCGCTGCCACACACCTGTGTGGGACTCTGGCTGCGAGATAAGGCCCCGGGCACAGTGGCCCTGCAGCCACCTGTGCTGCCAAACAGGTGCACGGCACAGCCAATTAAACTATTAGACAAACACAGGCTTCTGGGAGCATTCTTTCAGGCTGCCAAAAAAAAAAAAAAAAAAAAAACCTCCAGAAAACAAAAACGGCAATGGCGAGCAGTCGGTAAAGGAATGACGGCAGAATTTAACGTTGAGGGTTTAGTTTTTGCGAATGCTTAGCGGAGCGACGCACAGGTTTGTCCTTCAATATACTGCGTGTAGAATGTTAAGTGGACAGCTCACCAGAGTCTGGTCGTAATTCATGGGCTTTCTATGTATGACTAGCACCCTCTACTGGAGTGGAGCAGGTATATACGGGAAGGAAGAAAAGCAGGAAGGATGAGTGGATGGTTAGATTTTAGGCTCGGTACAACTCGTTTATGTCGATACCGATACTGCAACTTGAAGTATTTGCCAATACCAATATCGATCCGATACCTTTTTTTCTACCGCAGCATGCAGGCTACCGTTGCTGAGGCATAGTTATGGCATGTTGCACGAAGTTAAGCATTTGGGCTTGGGTATTAGATCGAATGAGCTATAGTTGTTTTGGAGTTATTTTTTCGATGTTCGATCCTGAAATTTTGAGTATCAGATCAAGCCGTCCATAGTCAGAATATATACAGACGCAAGAAGCTGCAATTAGAACAAGAACATACATAGTCAATTTCCAAGTGTAAATGACATGTCAGCTGAGCTGTTGAAGCTAACGATGAGCCGACGGTGATTTGACACAAACGTGGCTGGTAAATCGAGGAAATACCACACAGAGAGGTAAGTAAGTTATGATTTTAGGTACCAGATTTTTTTTACCTCAAAGAAATTCTGTATTTGCTTTAGCGTAATTTATATTTTTAACCATTAACAGGAGTCAAACCACCTTGTTATTTTAGCCAAGGTTCAAATTAAAACAAGCGTGATGTACTGCACGTATAAGATTCTGCCCAAAGGTTACATTACCATAGTGAAGTAGGAATAAGGAAAAAAAAACACACAAAATTTTGTGTGTTGTGATCCATGATAATTAAGCACATTCATATTAATTAGCGGCAACCTTATCATCTAGTTTTCAAGAATATAAACAAGTCCCTTTCCCCCCCAGGAGAGACATAATGAGGTGTTTGAGGACAAGTGGAGTTACTCCACTAGTCGACACTTCCACACTTCTTCGCAACAGAACACACACATACGCGCGCAAGAAAGAGAGAGAGAGAGAGAAAGACAAAGAATAGAAGTGTCTTCTCTCTGGGTGGAAGTGACTCCTCCATAAAGCATGAAGGTCTCTTACATGCTGGTCAAAGGTTCAGCCATTTGGAAATACCCAGAGGGCAGGCCTGGCCTGGCCTTACATCCTCTTGGCACCAGTTGGCCTTTCAGAGTGAAAAGGCTGAGTCGACTCCCCGCAGCTCGCTGGAGACGACTGTGTGTGGGTGTATGTGTGTGTGTGTGTGTGTGTGATAGAGAGAGAGAGCGAGAGAGCCGCAGTTCCGCATTCACTCAGGGGATAATTACTTTAGCTGCCTGCCTATTCATTACACTGTGGAGCACAGTCCATGTGAAATGTACATTTGTGTGGAGCCGAGTACATTATAAATCTATCAACGGCTGCTTTATGTGCGGAGAAATGGCCGCCGTTCACTGTCAGTGCTGTTTTAGTCGGCTAATATATTTATCCACTTTGAACAAAAAGGGGCTAAAGATTCATCGTCACTTCCTGATTCGTGTTTAAATGAGATGAGAAGGAAACGTGGGCCACTACTACGTCCATTACTGTAATGATCATATTATTAGGAACGCGCGATGGAACAAAGGCTTCTGTGGTTTTAACATCAGGTTAGCAGAGCCTCAGCACCTCATCGGTCAATGCATACCGGGGCGATTACTTTAATGAGCATATTAGTAGGCACGCGCGATGGAACAAAGGCTTCTGTGGTTTTAACATCAGGTTAGCAGGGCCTAGCATACCGGGGCATTTTCTAATCAAACACACACTGCTCTGAATGCACCTGTCATCTTCACTTGCCCCCTGTGTTTGAAAGCAGTGTCCCTGCGTGGGCAGGGACTACAACAAATACAAAGTCAAAACTGATTAAAGTGAGACTGCTGCTTAGGAAAACACTGAGAGCGTGGCCCTTGACTCCACTCCGGCAGTAAACCACAGCGTCCAACCAGCAGCTGTAGGTCAATAAAACATTCATGGTCCTACACACAAAACACAGTTGCAGAACAAGCTGTTTTGTTGAGTTTGAACAGGCGCGTGGAAACTTTTTGACCTGCGGGCCACAATGGGTCCTAAAGTTTGACATGGGGGCCAGGTCAGCAGCAGATAGATGGGGAGTTCGTGTGGACTAAAATAAATGACATGTAAAAGGTAGTCAATAAAGGCAATAAATGGCAGTGTTGCATATAAGCCTCTACAGTGGACGCCTGAGAATCCACTGTAGGGGCTGCCATCAAAATCTATTCTTATTATAGAAAATGACATTTTAATAGCTGTCCACTGTAGTGACCGTCATGCATGAAAGGGTTAATTTAGACAAGTTTGGTGGGCCGGATTAAAAAAAAAACAAACGGGCCGCATCCGGCCCCCGACCTGTAGTTTGCTCATGCCTGAGTTAGAAGAATCACTGGTATAACTTTCACTAATGTGAAGTAACACTGGGACACTACAAATCTACAAATAAATGCATCAGAGACAGTGCTATCCAATAGAAAAAGAACTAGAAAAAAAAAAAAACGACAGTGTAAATGTTTCTGAATAAAACCGTGTACAAGCTGCAGTCCATCATAGAGTTCAATGGATTATGGTGTTGAATGCATCCATTAAGCTGCACCATATATAAACTGCACCCCTGCAGTGTGTTTCTGTAAGCACTTATACGCACAGTGAGACGATGATGTTTTAAGTTAGATGTTGCGTTTGGTGTATCACAAGCGGGAGAGACTTTTTTGTTTTTCTTTTCCTTTTCCTCAATTCCGTTTCTCCACTGGAAAACTGTGGCGTTCCGGACCAGCAGACCTAAGAAATATGACTTCTGTTCGATTTATGGGGTTGGTCAGTGCTACAGGTAAATTAAAGTAAACTTGATGTGTTCCAGGTTAGCCTTTCTCCCAAACAGTTCGGTAAAAATAGACGTATTGTTACATACGTAAAAATAAGTTCTTGCATGTTCAGCATATTTTTAAATGTCAGCGGTTATCATACTCAAACACCCACTCTGATCCCAGGTCAACGTAAAAAAAAAAAAAACTCTCCCACTTATCCAATGATCATTTAATATGCAGTGTTCATTGATTCACATTAGGAAACATCTCCTCAACAGTGAGCTGCTAAAAAATTTAGAGCCTCTGCCGTCGCCGTCGCCGCACAAGTGGGACAAAATTAAAATTAAAGATCTCATTTGCACAGAAACAGAGTGATGCCTCCTAGCCAAGGATCCACGTGCCAATCACAGCCCGGAAGGACTGAAGTGAGGGAAGAAAAACTGCGATAGCAACTCGCGGGGGGATTCGGGAGACGAAACAACGGTCAATTTAAGTCTGATTGAGTGAAAGAGGTCTGACCCGTGACTGAGAGACATGTTAACTCCAACATGAAACTGAATGTACTTGTTTGACATATCTGAATTGAATGCGTCCGCCGGGACTCAATTACTCAAACTGTAACAACTGTTGTTCAGCGAAAAATGGAGTATTTAAGATACATACCATAAGTAAAATCCCTTTTTTTTTTTGATTATGGAAATGATGTATGAGCTAAATCTTTAGTAAGTTTGGGGTATTTTCAAGCAATTTTGTCAAACTTAAGCCAGTACGAGGGCTGACATGACTTCTATTTTTGGGAATGATTTAGCATTTAGCTTTGGCGCTCTGGCTAACTTTCAGCTAATTCTTTCGTTCCTTTTACTAATATGTTGGTAACTATCATTAAAATTTAAAAAAAAAATCTTTTACCAATAGGCATCTCTTACCTGACAGGATTGCTGGTGAGAGAAACTCTGAGGGACTCCAGGCAGTTGAGCAGTTTTTCCTCAGTGATTCCTGATCTCAGCTCGTGAACGTATTCCTGCGATGACAGCGTACTCTCGTGTTTGCTGTTTCTGAGTCCGCCCTGAAAGACAAAAACATCAACAAACGGGTTTTTAATTAACTGCGTGATGAATATAATTTCAGTCATAGTGAATGTTGTCAAGAGACCCTTGGGATCACGTCATGGAGCAAATCAGATCTAAGTAAGTTTCACAGCCTGATCTTAAGTTACCGTAAGACCTGTAAGGATGCTCAGAATGAGAGGTGATAGAAAACTTTACGTTGGGTCTTTTTGACATTATGGTCCTTTGAAGAGGGTACATCAAGACCCAGATGAGACAACTTTACGAATCATGAACAAGCCCCATGACTGAAGGAAAAAAAAGTTGTAGATGTGGTACTGTAGGAGTATTTTCATATATAGGTATTATTGTTTGCACTGCCTCTCAGTGGTTTGGTAGTGTAGAGTAAGTATATGTACTTGCCACAGCACTGTTGGGAATTCGGTGGCGAACAGTGTTTGGGTAAATCACAACGACACCAAGCAGTTTTATTTTCTTCTAATTAGCAGAAAAGTTTTATCCAAACGGAAACAAATACTTCAGTTTTGAACAAGCAAGTCTTCAAACGGAAAATGCCCTCAAGTAGGAAAGTAGTACAATAGAATTAAGGATCAAATTAATTTAGAAAAGGAAGTGAACTTTCCCAGATTTTCAAACACCACGTCCTGTTTCCATGTCTCAATAAACAAATCAAAACAAATTTTGGTTAAATAAGTCACAAAAAAAAAAAACAAAAAAAAAATGAGATGCTAGTGAGATGCTAAACAAACGCACACGGATAGAACAAACTCGATGCAGAAAGATCAACAGGGAATCGAACCCACAAAAAACCTTTTGCTGTAAAGGCCCGTATTCTACCAACATTTGCCTTCGGCAATAACACACTGAACTACAGCAGGCAACGACACAACACAGGGTCACCAGTGCACAGCTAATTACGAAGTGTTGGGTCACTGGATCCGACACAACACAGGGTCACCAGTGCACAAATTATAGCTGTGCACTGGTAATTAGCTAAGTGTTGGGTCACTGGAATGGTACATATTGGAGTACGATTACGAGTACTTGAATGTAAAGTATTAGGCCTGATATTGACGGGTGACCCTTGCATGACACATACAGTACTACTTTTACAGTTTTCCGCTATTTGTAGGGTACAGACATTGATGATTGTGTGCTTGAAGCCAACATCTGAGTGATTGGTCAGACTTTTTTTTTTTTATCAACTCAGCATGTAAAAAAAAACCCGAGGCAACAAACAGCAACAATTTAAGTAACACGTTTGCGCACAAATGTCCTCCGGTGGTATCTGAAGTTTGGAACCTTTTTTTTTATTTATTTACCTGAAGCATTATCTTTTACTGACCCGTACACTTACACTTGCGCACCCTAATCTACAAGAACCAAATTTTCTTAAATCAAGTTTCTGCGACTTAGCAGCAAAAACACATTTTTGCCATTTTTGCTGTATTTTCTCCTCAACTGTCTACACCACCCCCCTTCTTTTTATGTCTCTTACTTTTTTTATCTCTCTTGCTCTTCCCCTGCCTCTCATTTTTTTTTTCTTTACGCTACCACTTCGTCATGTCCAACCCAAACACACTCTTCTGCGTCCCTCCATCTTCCCTTGCTCTTGTTCCCTCGGGTCTCTTTTTGAACCATTTTTGTCTGCGTGAGGCTGAAGAGGAAAATGTCCATTTCCCAGTAGCCGGCAGGTAATATCCTCCCCTCTGCCTCCTCACGTCCTTTCTCTGGAGGTGTAACGCTGATATTATCCCAGAGGATGGCATTGATTCAGGACGGGGTCATGAAAAAGCAGTTTATGGTCAGTGTCTCTGGTTTCCAGAGGTCAGTACATGCTGTGAAACCTGAGCTCTGGCTTTTCTGGACATGGTGTTGTGCCTGCTGGGAACTACTGAGAGGTATAGGAAGATAAATACAAGGTGGCTACTGCTGTTTTTTTTTTTTCCCCACCGTGTGTTAACTGTTTTATCACTGGAGGAATAAATGTGCTATGAATGTTTGGGCCTAAAGAGCTGTTTCGGAAAGAAGGATGGCCGTCTTTTTCTCAATTTCAGTACAGTTTCTTCTGCCAGCGTTGGGATTAAAAATTCTTGTTGAAGTATTTCTGGTTATTTTATAAATAAGTGCAAAAATGCCCCGTCAGTGAGCAAATGCCGAGCCAATTTAAATTAAGTCGGACACTTTTGTTATCTTAAAATGCCCATCTTTCGAGTCCAGCGGTTAAGGAACTCCAAGGATTTTACCACCTACAGTCCTAGGTATCATCCAAAGATACATAAGTTCTGAAGAATTGTCCACACATACGTGAAATCACTGAACACAAACCTTGAATGTCGGTGACCTTCCCTCAGGCAGCGCTGCATTACGAGGGGACATCGTTCTATATAACCATGTGGGACCAGAAACACTTGACAGACAAACCATGTCTGTCAACACAGTCTGTCACTACATGGACAAGTGTTAGGTTAAAACTCAAAATGAAAGCCAAATGACAGCTGGATCCTGTCATTGAAAATGAACCCACGCGAGGTAGAAACGTGTGCTGCGGTCTGACAAGTCTAAAGCTCGTGATCGTTTTTGGAAATCATGGAGTTTGGCCTTCATGCGAAAATGGAAAAGAACCCTCCAGATTGTTGTCAATGCCAAGTTCAGAAAACCAGCATCTGTCCAGCATTTTAGAGAAATACCTGTTGATTTCAGACAACACCACACCAAATTCTGTAAGTGTTACAACCGCTACATAATAAAACGGTTCGAGTTTACCTGCCTCCTAAAAAACCAGAAAGCGATACATTTGATCAACATTACAGATCCAGGATTCTTAGCAAATTCAAATTAATGACCTCTGCTTTTAACCCATCACCAAAGTGAGCAGTGGGCAGCTTAATCACCCGGGGAGCAGTTTGTGGAGACGGTGCCATGCTCAGTGCAACCCAGTGGTAACATGGCAGCTGGTGGATTTGAACCTGAAACCTTTCCGGACACAAGTCCGCTTCCAGAAAGCCATCACTGCTCCAAATCAAGAAGAGGAAAAAAATCACCGACAGTTGTAACGATTCTCCTCAATTTGCCTCACTGAACATTGCCCATGTGTCTACCTTCATTACTGTCATGATGATGACAATGATTACAACAATTACTGTCATGATGATGACAATGATTACCACAATGTCAATTAGGTTAATTAGAAATAATACGATTTCCTTCATCCTTAAATAGTTAACGGTAAAAAAAAATCATTCAAGGAATTCTGGTCCAGACTTGAGTTCCTGGTGCTCGAGCCTGCGGTAAAAACCCAACTGTGTCGTAATCTTCTGTGGTTAAAAGACAAAATATGTCCTCATATTGCTCCTAGTTCCAGCAGAGGAAACACGCCACTTCAGTGCAGCCTCACCCGAGGAGGACCTACTCAAACTTTGTCTTTTTAACTGCAGTCTTGAGTCTCATCTCCTAACACTTATTGAATCCCCTATTTGTCGATAACTGTATTTCCTGCCAAAAGAAAACAGTGCTGGGAGCAATTACTCCAGCAAAGCCTGTCAATTTCATTTTGGGAGGGTTAGGATCGGATTGAGACTCATTCCCTCCTCTTCCATCACCTCTGCCTCCAGGATTTTTCCCATCCCGTGAGCAGTGACAGAGTGAAGCTTTTCTGTCTACTGAGGGGCAGGGCAGGGAGACAATGCCAAGGAGGCTGCAGCAGCACATGTCATCTTCACCTGTAATGAGCCAGTAACAAGCTGGCAGCGTCCTCGGCATCCGTTGCTGTGTGCACTCAGCCACACTGATGGATACATTATTCAGCTCCGTTGTCAGCTCAGTGGAAAAAAAACACATGGAGGCAACGTGTCTGGAAGTAAAAGATGTCTGGAGGAGAGCCCAATGCCCAAACACAGGCACGCGATTGTACTCAAGGTGTTCCCCAACTATTTAGTCAGCTCTGTGATCTTTCAGCGAGGCGACCAGGAGACGGTACGATGGTGAGAAAACAAGTGGGGCAGGTCCGAGGCTGAGTCTTTGGAACACTTTAGATTACAGACCACGAGAGTTACACGTTGATAGATAAACGGTCCGAATAAAAGTGCAGATTTGTCCATAGCGCTCGAGTTCTTTGGGTTTAAGCCCAAACATCGTTCACGTGGAGATGATGCATTGTGAATGGGTCAAAAAAAAAAAAAAACCCTCCATCAAGGTGGAAGTAGGCTGCGTTATCTCAAAAACTGACTGGTCATACCATGAGACTACACACCACGGTGCAGTAGGTGGCGGTACTCGCTATTGTTTCAGGACGTCAGGTCCCTTCATCGACATTTTGGTGTTTAAAAAGAACGCGGAAAGAACTTCTTCCACAGACACAAACACGAACTTCTTTCCAGTAAATATATTTTCATATTATATAGACCATTTATATAGACTGTTGTGGACACAAAGTCATGAATCATAAAGTATCATGAGTTGAGTGTATCATTACATCCCTACTAATGTGTAATTGGACGTTTTATAGAACCACTTATTGTTGAGGCGCTTTGGCCCAGAGGCAATGTCTCTGTCGTTGGTGTGGAACCACAGGGTTCATCTCCTGGGAAAGATCGAATCCCGGTTAGGACGGTTTGCACCTTCCAGTGGACTCACCACTCGCAGGAAGGTTCACGAGGGGCTGGTGCGATTTGGGTGGCGGTCGTGGAGACAGCTGCCCCGTGACCCGGTAACGGATGAAAATGGATGGATGGATGGATTTATTGTTGACAGTGAATCATATCATAACACTAGTTGGTGCTCAGAAAGCTTTAATATCTAGCAAGAAAAGAAGGGAGCATTGAGGAAGGCTAAGGATCAGGACAGAGCAAAATTTTACTTTAAAATAAAAAGGTCTCCCATTACAACCTTGATATTACCTTCCCCTCACTATAGATTTTCTTCTTTCGGTTTGCAACAGGTGAGAATGTAGTCGGAAAATGTCAACATTTGTCATTCAGGTTTTATGGATTTCGCTATT